ATTCTATTCTGATATGTAATTGCACATTTGACATCAGCAATCGAAATCAATTTCAATTTTAGATCATTGATAGATTCACCAATATCACCTAATGAATAATCATCATCAACATTCGAATCATCATCGAGAGTTAAACGATAAAATAGCTTGTTGAGTTTCCATAATTGACAAACAATTTCATGAATACGACCAATAGACATTGATGATTCACATTGAAATCGAATTGGAGTTTTTTGTTCATCACTGATCACTGTAACATTTGTTTGAAATTTTCGATAGATTAAATTCAATTCAATTGATGAAGTTGAAGTACATAATAAGAAATTCAATGATGTTTCACCTGATAGAATAAAATCACGATTATAGAGAAGATATTGATTTTGATCGATACTTTTATTTTGTTTATAAATATCATCGATGGTAGCATCAATAAGATATCATTGATTTTCCATATTCTCTTCATTAATTGCTACGAATGTATCATTTAATTGTTCAATGGTTACAAGACATGTTTGATGTTCTTTTATCAAGAAAAATTTCATTTCATTTATTGTAGATAATTTTGTATTTTCAGATAAGATCATTTTAGTTTTATAGGATGCTAAATATATATGACTATTATTAATTTTAATCATTTCTAATAATTGTTTAATTGTTAGATTTCGATGAGAAATCAAAATTGATATTTCTTTTTGATCATCATATTGAACGATTTGAATTAAAATTATAATTTGAAAATGGATCAGTTTGTTTGTCATTGAAGCATAGTGACTAATCGAATTTTCCATATCTAATTTGTTAAGAATCTTCTTTTCTGATTCATCTACGATGAGAACTAGACTATAATCATCTTGAGAGAATACTTTTAGATCTAATTGATTTAAATATTTTGGATTTTTTAGAAGACTATAAACTGGACATGATTTAAGAATATGAATATTTTGATTATTTTTATCATAGGAAAGAATTATATCAATAAGATTTTCTCCATTGACAACATCAACAATGATAGATTTAGCTTGATCAAGTATAAAAGATATTGTCTGATTTGAATCAATAATATATTGTTGTTCTATATTCCAGAAATTGTAACTCTCAATTGGAGTTTCTCTATTGATATCGAGAATTTTCAACCATAAACTAATCTGTTTCCATGTTGTTAATGGATTGAAGTATTGACTTTGTTTTTCATCTGAAAACAACAAAATAAAATATGAGAATTTCAGTTGATAATTCAGATAAAAGAAATACCTTGATCTGTTATAAGAGTCACTTCATAGCAAATATTAACATTCTTAGTATTACATTGAAAAACTCGAATATGAATCGATGTTTGTTCGTTAGAATCAAAAAGACTTGTAATTTGACAATCGTCAGCAATGTATCGTCCGAATACATCAAATACACTAAAATAATTTTCAGATGGATTAAATTTTAATTGTTGATCAAGAATAAAACGATTGAGAATTGATGTAAGTGTTGCTTCTGTTGTTACGAAATATTTCAATGAATTGTTTTCAAATT